GACTTGCGGGTCACCACTAGCAAGAGGACCGACGGCAACCTTGGAGCTTGCCTCAACGGGGACTAGCCTGTTGGCAAGCACATGAACCTCAGGATAAAAATCATCGTGTCATCCTTGTATTCCCGTTGGTTTGCATCCTCGTTACACAAAGCTTGTATTTACTTCATTTACATTGTGCTTGTGTAGTTGCTCTTGTAATTAGTTAGCTTGTGTAGCTCACTAGTTACCTTCTTATTTGTGTAGCATAGAAGTAGCTCACTTGCATGACTAATTCGGTTTGTGTAACCTTGTTAGTCACATTGCTTGATTTGTGTAGCTAAGTAATACACCTTTATTTCTACTAATGATTTAATATATATTTGAAACAAAGAGCATTTAACTACCCTTATGTTAAGTCTATTCTAAAGCTACAAAAATTACAGTGAGCACATAATAATACCATGAAGCTACGGTAAAATTTTCAAAGCTACAACGATCATTATATTACCACAAAAATTCCTACAATATTTAACCTAACAATATTAAGCACTCTCAATTGATTTAATAGTTCCTGGTATCAACAATATATATATATATATATATTTATATATATGAACTAAACACACCAATAGATAGAGCACAATTTTAGGAACTTAACAAAATTGGTTTCATAATTTTTGGATACCTATATGATTTTATATGATTTACCAAAGATAAGCTTAAAAATACAATTGAAAAGCTATTTCTATTCTCCACGAAAAAGATAAACTAATTTCGGCCAACACGGCCCACAAGGCGCAACGCGCGCGCATGTGAGCGCACGATGGCTCACAGGCGAGGAGCGACCCACGCGCGGAGCGGCCCACGACGAGGAAGCCCACGCCGCTGGCACTCTTGCAAAAATGCCCCTGGACTATGAGCAAAACAACCCGTAGTCCATGTTACTATTTCTACACACAGCGACTTTGCAACGAAACCCTCGGATCTTTCTCCTCTTTACAACGACAAGGCCCTCGGCCACCCCTAAGCGCGCCGGCGTGGCGGGTGCGGCAATGCACGGTCACGCCGGCCAACTAAGGCACGCAGTGGCCTCGCTAGCGGGCCAACCTGCATCTACAGTCCTAGCGCCTACACTAGATGAAGTTACGGGAGGAGCGGAGCTTGCGGGAGCGGTGGCCACGGCGAGCGGCCATGTGCGACGGTGGCGCGGCCGTACCGGCCATCCTAGACCACAGCGTAGCTACTGGCTAGCGCGTGAGCAACCCCAGCTTACCCCGGTCACAGCTGTGGTGATGGTTGAGGGAACGGTCAGCGGATAAGGGCTTGCCGCGCATGACCGGAGGGGTGCGGTGGCGCTCTGAGACGGCGCAGCTACGACGAAGCGGTAGAGGTGCAAGCGAGGCATGCAGGGTGAAGTGGAGGTGGAGGCGAAGCTCATGAGGCAGGTGGATTGGCGTGGAATGAAGTGATGGAGACTGGCCCCGACGCGGGCGACGACGGGCCTTAACGGCACGGCGGTGGCAAAGCTCCAAAATTGGAGCTTGGCGTGACGTGAGTCAAGGCGGGGTGGGGTCGGATGGAGAGGAGACATGAGGGCGAAGATGCGAGCATGAGAAATTGATGAGAGGTGCTCGCTCTCTGGCTTCACCGTGACGTGACCCGACGGTGGCGGAAAACATAGAGGAGAGAGAGACGGGGCACGGCAGTGGGTTCGGCTCGTCCACACCTTGGCGGGACACGGCCGACCGGACTTAAGGCGGCGTCTACGCACCTGCTACACGACACTGCGGCCAAACCACGTGCGCGCACGGAGGCAGTTGGGGGTGCGGCACGCGCGGCCGCAGCGCCATTAAGGCGGGATGGCGGCGGGGCAGCCCACGTGCGAACAAGGACAAGGTGAGCGGCAGCAGCACAGCATCTCAGTGGCATCGGTAGCAGCAGTGTCGCGATGCAAGGTGGGTCAGCAGTGTGGACGCGACGGCGAGTTGATGGTGCCGGCAGCGGCGCCGTCACGGCGAATTCAGGGCAGTCGGCAGCAGCGGCGGCTCCGCGTGGTGGGGCCAGCGGTGGCTGAGACCTTTCTAGGCCAGAGGCGGCCACGGTCGGCCGTGTGCGGCAGCGCACGCACCCACACGCACGACCAACGCGGCGACACCGAGCGCGGTGACCGCGGCCACGCGGCCAACCAGCCCGAAACCGTGGCACACACGAATTTTAAAGCCTTCAACACGACCAAACGGTTGCTTAAGGACCTAAATCATCTTCACCATGCTCAAGATGGCACATGAGACTACCAACTCGAGCTATAACACTACACCACTCCTTAACCTAATCTCTCACAATAAATTGCTAAACATAGCAATGTCTAACTGTTGGTAGACTTGAAAATTTCTATGTTTTTGAGCTGAATTTGATTTTCATTTGCGATTTCTAAGCTAGTGGAAATATTAGCTAGTAATATCATTTTTCGACCGCAAGAATTTCATTGTTATCTACAAAGCTTGTACTTCAAACTTTATTTAAGTATCACATATATGTTCTGTAGCATTTTTTCTTAATAAAAATTGGTTTTAAACCCTAAGTGATATAATATGACTATCGAATCAACTTTCGTTTCACATTTTAGTTGATCGTTTTGAGTTACGGAAATTGATCTACACACTTTATTACATGCATTAACACATAACCATGATGCTCATGATATGTTTTAGTAAATGATTTACGGTGTAACACCGAGGCTGTTATAGGGTCAAACTTGTCTAGACCGTCTATCTGCTGAAAGAAAAAGCACCTCTCATAGGCCTACACAACAAGATTCAAATAAAATATTAGTAACCTACTAACACAAATGAAGAAAAAAAGGTACGGAAAGAATTACTTACATTAAAACGACTGCATGTGTAGAAGCAACACGCTGCTGTGTCCGGATGTCTTGATTGAAACACGTCGACCGGGAAACCACAGTCACATTTAGGGACAGGGAGGTCAGGAGGAACGGGGGCATCTTTGCTAGACGCGTCGGGGTATAATTCTCTAGGACGACCCCGTTTTCACCACAACTGCTCCCGAAACATGTCTTCCATCTAATAAAACGGTTGTAATTTAACATCAATCAAAACATCACAAATTACTAAAAAGGAGAACCATTTGCATTACAACTAAAGTAATATAACCAACATTTATAGGAACAAAAATAAACCTTACACTAAACATGGTAATTACAACTAAAGTAGTATAAAACATACTTCTAATCCTTGAATCCACCATTCAAACTGATATTTTTCTCCAAACCCTAGCTACCAATCCTAATCCTTAATCCACCGTTCAAACTACTAATAAGAGCACCGTTACCTTGACCGAGGCCGAGGAGGAGCTTGGGGGAAGGTACAGAGAGGAGCGGCAAGGGAGGGAAGGGCGGCGACCGGGCATGGGGGTCGGAGGCGGCGGCGCGGCGCGCCGAGGGCCCTCACCTCCAGTCGGGCAGACAAACAGAGGGAGGGAGCCAGGGAGGGAGCCCACGGCGCAACGGTTACGTTGGGCCTAGCCGTGCCATGACCGGCGGCGCGGCACCGACGCGCCATGATCCACGGCGCGATAGCCCGGCCACGTCATTGGTCAATGCCGCTATTGCCTGACACGTGGCTACCCCCACCGCGCCGCCATGCATGGCACGGCAGCGTGAATTTGTCGCGCCATGCGAATAGGCGCGGCCAAAAGTGTTAGTTTTGAAAAAAAAAGTGTTAGATTTGGAAATAGTTTAAAAAAGTGTCGTGTATCAGTCTCACAGAGCGACCACAGACAACGGCTGTAGTGCGGAGCGGAGGCGTGTCGCGGAGGCCTGTGGCTGAAGTGCGATAGGATGGGTTGTAGAGTGCAATGCGCAGACATCCGTGGACGCCACGCCATGGTGCATAATCTCCTGTTAAACTGTCTCCAATAAGAAACCTATATGGGCACCCAAACCTAAAATGGGTAGCAAGAGACCCAAAATCAGTCTCCAACAGAGTACTTATATGGGAGATTTATTTTTGGTTGCCTAAGAGGCACAACCCAAATATGGACATCCTCTCTCCGGAAACCCATTTGCAGAAAGGATTCTCTTTTGTGTCTTGTTGTTGGAGAAGATGCCGAATAGGTATTGAACCTTTTGCCTGTAGCGCTACCCAAATGACGAATATGTCTTATATTTTGGGTGATGTTGTTGGAGATAGCCTTAGTGCGGCCACATTTCAACCATGAGCCTCCGCACCCTACTATACCTGTTGTAACTCTACTTCCAACCTAGGGTTCAACTCTTCGGTGAGGATACCGAAGGGGAACCTAGGGTTCCATTCTAGGCGAGGGAATCTAGTATCAAGGTGCGTTGGGTTCCATTCTGGGTGAGGGAATCTAGTATCAAGGTGCGCAAGGAGAGGATACCGGAGAGGAAGACGGAGGGCCCTAGCTGAGTCAGCAATTTCCAAGTTCATGACCAAAACCAGACTGAAGCGATATTTCGTGATAAAAAATGGACTTCACAAATAGCTTTCTTTATTTCTAATAGTTGCCGAGCTGAACTTCCTCCAAAACTCGGAAACTGCTGAAATGGAGTCTGGAAGGACTAGGTCATTGTGTAACAACGGACAAAATGGTAAATGCAAGACCATGGCAAGATGCAATTCGCAAAACATTTTCAGGCAAAAGGGTAGCCTTTCCCCTAGAGCAAAATTTCTCAGCGGCACAGCGCGCTTGATGAAAGTACAGCACACTATGCCAGTGGTATGCACAATAAGATACCAGAGTGGCAACCATCTTCACTCCAAGCATAATAAGAGCACATATATAATATCTGAAACCCAATACAGCAAGTGACAAAACTACCACATATAACACCATGTCCCAGAAAATCCCCCCGCCAATTCCGTAAAACCAACAAGCGCCCCCTCAAGGGCTCCACAAAACCAACTCAATGACATTGCATCAAGCACAACCAAACTAATTGCTCCACAACCAATGCCTGCCAATATTCGATGTGCAGCACCTTACTGCTGCTTGCACTCTGCAGGTCGTTCTCCCTGCTGCCCTTCCCCTCCAGCAATTCCCTTGGTCTTCTGTTCCAAAGAGGAAAGGAGAAAAATGTCAAAACATACTCAGAAGCTGGAAAGGGTGTAGAAATGGTATTCCTCGTTAGAGATAAAAAAAAAAAAGGTTTCCATACCTTTGTGTCATAATCATCATTATCTTCATCCTCGTCGTCTTCGTCTTCATCGTCATCGTCTTCGTCATCATCGTCATCCTCACCATCCATAACTTCGAAGTCCTCATCTTGAGCAGCCTCTCCAGTGAACCACGAGACAGCATGTGGGATAATCTTGTCTCTGATGGTAGATCTGGCAGATATAGAAAGGGTAGTTTAGAAGAAATAAACAAACTCTCAATCTTGGTGCATCAACAGATTGATCAAATCCCCTGATCACAGAAACTAGATCTGTAATAGGACGGCAACCACTACATATAATAAGAACACATAACAACATACCCAATATCATAATCTTGCTCCATTTGGTTCTGCAACTGTTCAGCCTATTGAAAAGGGAACATCAAGTCAAATTCAATCATGTTCGTGTATGCGTTTAACCATAAAAGCAGGTACATATCAGCTAAAAACTTACTGTATCCTCATCAATTTCCTCATCGTCATCAGGGACTTGAGGTGGACTGAAGAAGTTGAAGAAGCTCTCACAATCTTCAGTTTTTGTGATAGGTTTAGTGTTCTTTGACCCCTTCCGTGGCTTCTTTTTTAGCACCTTTTGTGTCAAGCACTTCCCAGGGTACCATTCAATTTCAGTACTGAAATTGATGAACATAGGCATTACTAAAACTTTCTATCCATCCAAAAGAAAACTTAACTCCATGAGAGGAAAATATTTAATAATTACCCAATGGCTTTCTCCAGAATTGGTTCATCCTCATCAATCATGTGATATGTTTTTGTAAGCACTGAATTCTTGAAGAACGGATTTGTATCAAAGTGAAATTCAAGCTTAAAGCCCTTTGGCTCGCTGATCCTGTACCACTTGATGTCCTTGAGGTACTTGAGAGCGTCCTCATCCCTCTCCTGGATCTGAAATTGAAAGACAAGAATTATTTAAAGCCAGTAAAAGACTCGTTTGTGTAAGAATGCATTACAACAAATTGGAACACAAAGTAACGATGGCCCTCATCAGAACAAAAACAACAAGTAAAAAAGATGCAAGACTTCACCTCCTCGGCCAGAATTTCATGATTCTTCATTGCATTAAGCCAGAAAGCTGGTACACCTTTTTCTTCTGCAAGGAAGCATTGTGATTGAAGTCAAAACAAAAGTCAAGAGGATACAGTGGCGGAGCGTGCAGCCCAATCAAGGGGGGGCCATTTTGCAAGCACGTGCTGAACAAGAAGACATGTGCTGTCCAAGACCTTTGTAGGCTGGCAAGATCTATGTTGCGGCATGCCAAGTGCAGAGCCGTCTACGGTGGAGAGATGTAACTAATTGTTGTGAGCCACGGAGACACTGCCACTTTGACGAAGAAAAGCAGAAAGAAGCCAGAGACTGAACGTGGATTGCGTTGTTTGCTATGTCTACGGATGGACTGGTTGCTTGCTTGCTAGCTGCCTTAGACTCTGCACTATTATTAATGGCCTTGTATTTGTATTTCTATACCATCTGAACAGTATGTGGACTTTAGAAAATTTACAGAGCCAAGGGGGGGCCATGGCCCACTATGGCCCCCACGTAGCTCCGCCTATGAGAGGATATGTTTCTTCTTTAATAGAGTTCCATTATCCAATGGAGACCAGAGATCTTGATACAGGTGGAAACTATGTTCACCTTTTTGCTCAGCAGAGGTCTCATCTCCACTCTTTTGTTCTGCAGGGGTTTCAGCTGCACTTTCTTCTGTGACACCCTCAACCTCGACCACACCATTGACAATTTCGTAACGCTGTCAATTTCAGGTCCAATAAAACAATCAGATGGGTCATGGCTCATGGCATCAAATAGGATGCAACAATAGTGAAGGGATGCCTGTACTTTATGGAGCATCAGAATACATTACTAACCATTTCTTTTGCATACATGCTAAAGAAGTGTCTATTGCTATGGTAGGCGTATGAATTCTCAGAGCAGTTCAGAAGTTGAAAAAAATAGCAACAGTACAAAACCGAACACAACATATATAGAGGCATCGTTGTATCAAAACATGAACAAGCTTACCTTTGAGTAAAGTGGTTCATACAACTTCTGATACTTAGCTTCTAGAGCTGCTCTCTCCTCGAAAAACTTTGCCTCAAGTTCATCGTGTTGGCCCTAGAAGACAGTACACAATGGTAATGAACTAACGGCAATTGTATCTAGAGCATCAATTCAACTTGCCCAAGTGATTACTATATAATAATACAGAACCAAGTGGTAAACCAATCAGCGAGAGATCAGAATGACAGAAAGGCAGAAATATGTTGCACAACGTAAACCCAGTCTAGACACATGCCTAATAAGAGAGCTTCTGTCTGATACTTCGATCTAAACTAAGGTCTTCACATGGTTAGATTTAGATCTATAAAGATAACGTGTATCAGTATCATACCATTTCCAAAATTCTCTAACAAAATCCCAATACACCTCGAGTTCGGGAGCCAAAGGCTCATTAGTTATTACAGGCAAAAAATAAATCTAGAGCTCACGACCAGGCATCATAAATATCATCCAATGTGTGACACAAACATTCACAGTGGCTGGCACTTCTCCAGAATCTCCAGTAATAATAGTATCCAACAGTGTCCTAGCTCCTATTAGGATTGGAATTGCTGGTGCTAGTGCACACCAACCATACACCGTCATACCATTATGACAAGTATAAACACAATCACATAATGCATCCTTTATTAGACACAGACAATGATACAGGACCACACAAAGCTCCCTACCGAAGCATGCAACAACAGCAGAAACTATCACAAAACCAACATCATAGTCCCACAAGTGTAAGCAACTTTATACCTGGATCTCCCTGAGCTTCTCGACGCGCTTCCTGACCTTGGGCTCGAGGTTCTCGAGCACGTCGGTATGCCGCGACGCCAATCCCTCAAGCGTGTTCTAAACAAGTGCGAGAAAACACCGAATCAGCATAGGCTCACTATGAAATCCCCAAAAAACCGCCCAACCCGACCACAAGCCCGCCAAAACTGCAACAAAAAAAAACAGCGAACCGCCGCCCGGGAATGCAATAGAAAACTCACCTTGATCGACGCCACAAGGTGAGCCTTGTCCTCCGCGCTGAGCTCTGCATCGGAACCGCCGCAAACCAATCAGACAAAGGCACCGCGCCCAAGCAACGGCAATAGAAATCGAGAGGCGAAGCAACGAACCGGCCGAGTTGGGGATGGCGGCGCCGAGGGCGGAGAGGTCGAGGGAGTCCTTGCCGTCGCTCATGTCTGCGGCGCGAGGCACTGGAAGCTTCGGGGACGATTTGGGGCGGGGGACGATTTAGCGGCGGCGGGGCTAAGGGGGGCGCTGGGTTTGAGGGGAGAGGGAGGGGACGGCGGAGGAGGGGATAAAAAAAGAGTGGGGGATTGAAACTTGGCCGGTCTGAAGTTTCGCTGAAGCTGACTGAAAAACTAGCGTGAGAGAAAAATATATGGGCCGTGTTTAGTTGGAGGCCGGATTCGGCGCCGCCGGATTCGGCAGCACTGTTCAAACACGGTAGCATTTTGTTTTTATTTAGTAATAATTATCCAATCGTTAACTAATTAGGTTTAAAACGTTTATCTCGCAAAGTACAACTAAACTATGCAATTAGTTTTTAATTTCGTTAACATTTAAGCGTGAGAATAAATATATGATGTGACGAATCTTCTTTTGCGTAGTGCCAAATTAGGAAAATCGGGTAAACTAAAAATGGTTTTGGCTGAATTAAGTGGACTTAAAAAAAAAAAAGCCGAACGAAGCCATTTTAAGACAAGCTAACGGAGCGCGTGGGAACTCGAGAAGACGTGGGGGGAAGCGCCGGTTTGGTTTGGAGTTTGGACTCCGCCAGTCGCGAGCGGGAGAGAGAGAGAGTACCTTTGGGCCCACCTGTAGGCCAGCGAGACGCTGGAATATGCCTGCACGCTGTCACGGTCCGTACGCTATAGAAAAGTCACAATTCAAGAACTTTATTAGTTGTAAAATAAAATTTTATTCAGTTTTTCAATCAAGTACTCCCGGTCTCAAAAAAAAAATACAATTCTGGATCAGTGTCATGTTTTTAGTATATCTCCTTGATCAATTATAGATAAAAAAATATAAATATTTATAATATAAAATAAATATTATTAGATTAATTACGAAATATATTTTCACAATAAATTAATTTAAAGCCATAAATGAATATTGTTTAGTAAAAACTTGATCAAATATGTAGCACTCAAAGTGACACGTAACCTATAGTTGCATTCTTTTAAGAACAGAGATAGTACTCAATTAATCCATTATTAATTTTTTTTTTTTGCATAGCTCTAAATAGCTTCGGTTCCATAGTACATAAATCGTTGCCGGAGCCAAAGCTAATAAAGCCAAAATGGCTCCTGTTTTTTTGTGTAGGGAAATAAAAACAGCTCCTTATTCTAGTGCATAAAAAATATAAAAACTGTAGCTAACTGAAAGTCTACCAAATGGGGTCTTACGTTTTAGCCTTATGCTGAATTTATAGAGCTCACAAAAAACGAATGAAATTGGATACCAGCAAACTAGTAAGCACTAAACCTATTAGAATTTATAAGATAACCACCTGCTACTAATATAGGGGGTGATTCGAAAGGAACTATAGAGAAAAATGTGCAAAGAAAAATTCTATTGTGTGTTCGAGAATTTTGGCAAAGCTCGATATTTGAGAATACCTTTTGTAATTTTTAAAAGTCTGAATGAGTGAATGACCTTTTTTTCCTGTCAACTGTTTTATTTAAAAAATCGTGTCAATGTTGTCGGGTTCGTAAACCCGGGTCCTTCTCGGGCCGGTTTTCCAACAAAGGCTCGGCCCAAGCAGACAGCGCGCGACTCATGGGCCGGCCCAAGTATCTGAACGATAGGCCAGAAGGGCGGTCCAGTCACCGACCGGAAGGTCTGGCCGAGGAGGAGCGGCACCCGTTTTTCGACTCCGGCCCACCCTCCGACCGGAGCGCTCGCTCCGACTCCAGCCGCCTCCGGACGGCTTCTCCGACCGAAAGGCCTGACCAAAACGCTACTTTCGACTCCGACCCCACGTCTCCGACCGGGGTACGCTAAAACCCTGCTCGCTGCTCTTCTCCGACTGGCGCAACCGGAGCCGGCTGGGACCAGCCGACCGGGGACGCCCGCTCGGAAAGGACCAGGGAACGAACGGAGATGGCGAGGCAAGGCGCACAAGTCAAACCACGATACCAGGGACCGTACCCTGTAGACCTGCAGGAATAGTACTCTACAACCGTCCTGACACAAACAATGTTGTAGGCGCAGACATTTTTCCCCTACAGTATTGTGGACGTCATTAACTCCCATACGATAAGGCTCCCCCCACATGCCTCTGGGCATCGACAGTGTTGTAGGCGTCGGAATTTACCGTACCGAGTGAACATGGTATACAGGTACCGACATCTGCCATACCCAAACAAGACGATGTAACCTCTCACGTGTATCTGACATCCAACAGAATTATGGACGCCTACCATCATCCTGTACCCGCCGGTGTGGGCAACAAGGCTTAGAAGCAAACGTGCTCCTTCCCTCTCACTTATAAGGCCATCCCCTTCATCTATAAAAGGGGATGTGCCCTCTCTTAAGAGACTTAGTTAATCCAGGTCGATTCAAGTGATTCTGGATTCATTAGATAGATCAAGTTCGCTATCTCACAATCACAGAACCGCCAGATTCGGACCTGAAGCACACGCTTGAACACTTAGCTCATAGCGGAGCTCCTGTCGCTCTCGGCCCTTCTGACCGGAGCCAACCGGACCTCTTGTACACACTACATTTTTCCTTCTCGTTTGTAACCCCACTGCAAACTTCGAGCACCTGGGCTCAAGAATAAAGTCACCGTCCGACTCAAACTGGACGTAGGGCACGTTGCCTGAACCAGTATAAACCCTGTGTCATTGAGTGTTAGGCCACCTCCGATCACAACGTACGGCAAAACTACAAATATTCACTTGTTGGTCACTTTCTACACCGACACATGCCATCTGGTCAACAATGGTTTCTGAACTAATCCAAAGTGTTGGTAAAAGAAACATCTTGGGACGTTTATGAAGTCTCCTCAAAATGCACTTCCTAAACAATATACCACTCCATTTTTTTTAAAAAAAACAAGGACTGCTTCAACTTCAACTGACAAGGAAGGAAGTAGGGAAGTGATATTGATTGGCTTCGTTATCTTATTGATGCGTTTAGTATTATAAGTTTGTTTAGCGAGCTAGCACGATCGGTGCAATTTTATTAAATATAAAGAAGAATCTAAAAATCCTAGACATATTTTCTTTTCTTTTTTTTAAAAAGGTCGTGTAGATGATTACAAGTAGTACCTTGCTAAGAGCGTCTCCGATAGTTCCTAAAAATATTATTTGATAAATCAATTAGTTTTTAAAGTGGCTAAAAAAAGTTGGGTTCCTTTATCAATTACCAAAACCTAGCGCATAAAATATAAAACAATTTTATATCGGAAATTCATGATTACTATCTCCATCCAAAAAAAATGTAAATCTCGCTTCACGAGGAGTCAAAGAATCTTAAATTTGGCTAATTTTATAAAAGATATTATCTACATATAGATCTCTATTTAGATTTATTATGAAAATATATTTCATAATAAATCTAATGATAATTATTACGCACCATAAACATCAATACTTTTTATATACATTTGGTCAAAACTAAAGAATCTTTGACTCCTCGGGAAGCGAGATTTACATTTTTTTGAGCGGAGGTAGTATTTACAAATCACCATAACTATTTTTCTATATTCTTTTTCTCTTGTACATTTGCATTGAGAACACTATCCTATCCTTATTGTTCTCCACGTCCTTCCACCTCCGGATTGGTTGATCGATACACACGCGTATATTTCAACGTGATTGGGTCAAATTTCTCAAGTGCGGAAAAAATGGATGTTGATAGGGAGTCATTGGAGAGCAGTTTTTTAATCTATACATAGTATTAAAGAATAAGAGCCAATTCTATATCGTTGTAACTATACATAGACATTGGAGAGTTTTTTCGCCTGGCTTTTTCGCGGCCTGTACTCATACGGGTCAGAACAATTCGTGTCTAGTGACGATGAATACAGGGTCTGATTTGAATACATATTGGTCGCATGCTCTCCGTATCTCATACTCCATATATGGCCCATACTCATGACTCGTGTCGATACAAGTTAGAATAGCTTATGTCTAGCCGTGATACGACTTATATGTTTGCTAGTCTTGCCAAAAAGATCAAAGATTGGAAGTAGGTTTTAGAAACTCTTGGATATGCTCTACGAGAAATGTTCAGCGATTTTTTTTTGTACCTGCCGACGCCCCAAGTCATGGACTCCCGTTGATTTCAGTAACAAATAATGAAGGAGTTGAGAGCACCCCGTAGTACAAACTCTCTTTGATTCCTTTCTTCCCGTACCGTCTTCGTTTCTCCTAGGACATTGGTTAAGCGTGTCATCATCCTCCACTAGTCATGCATCCGTCTTTTATGTTATTTTAGATTTTAGACGAATGCAAGCCTAGAGATGCCAAGCCATGCTGTGAAAATATAGGGAAATTCGTTGACATCTTCAAACAATTTTAAGATATATCAATCATGCCTGCTTTAATTAAAAAATTTAAAACGACAAGCTTTCCGGATGGAGGGAGTGGCTCTTTATTTTTGAAAAGCTGTTTGGAAGTGTTGGAATTGTTTGTACATACTCCTCCCCTATACGGGATTGGTGATCATCGACTCCCAAGTCCAAGCGCAGGATTCTCGCCTTGGAAATGGAAAGCTTCCTTCCTGTCTTGGCTTTCAGTTGCCGGGACCAGGGGCAACCGGACAAGGAAAAGCAATCCTTGCCTTGCTGGCCGAGGAGAGCACAGGTCCGTCATCCGTGGGCGTACGCTTTGCTTCCTGGCCTCCCATTGGCAATTGCTTGGCTGCCTGCGACTGCCACTCTGCCACGGTGTGTGTGTGTGTGTGCGGGGGCGGGGGCGGGGCGGGAGGGATGGGGACGGAAGCTGCCCTGGCCCCTGCCAACGCCAACTGGGTCTGGCAGTAGCAGTCACTCATTGCTTTCCGTGCTCGGCGGGGCGCCCGGGCGGGGGAGGCCGATGCCGATCCGTGCCTTCAATGACGCCATCAATGCTTTATGGCACAACGCAATCACACGTGAACCAAACCAACGGGAGTCACCGTGTTCACCTTCACCTCTACAATCCTAAGGTTCACCCCGATAGGGT